GTAGCACTATCATCATCAGCAGCATCAGCATCGTCATCCGCATCATCATCATCAGTATCAGCATCGCCATCCTCATTATCATCGTCATCAGCATCATCATCATCATCATCCCCATCCGCATCCGCATCGTCATCATCGTCCTCATCCTCATCCGTCTCCTTTTTGCGCGTCCTCCACCGCATCGTTGTCTCCGTCCCCATCCCCCCCATCCTCATCCCCGACCATCATCATCGAGTCGTGTGTCATCCTGTTCCTCGTCCTCCTCCTCCTCCTCCTCCCCATCCTTCTCATCGTCCTCATCATCAGCGTCAGCATCATCATCAGCATCAGCAGCAGCAGCATCATCAGCATCGTCATCCGCAGCAGCAGCATCAACGTCATCATCATCAACATCAGCATCACCATCAGCATCATCAGCAGCAGCATCATCAACATCGTCATCATCGTCAGCCTCATCGTCCTCATCATCATCAGCAGCAACATCATCACTATCACCATCATCAGCATCATCAGCATCATCAGCCTCCGCATCACCGTCATCCGCATCAGCATCTCCATCCGCATCGTCATCAGCATCAGCATCATCATTAAAGTTATCATCCGTATCGGCATCATCATCAGCAGAATCATCATCGTCATCATCATCCTCCTTATCCTCCTTCCCCTCCTCCTCCTACTCTTCCTCCTCCTCCCCCTTCTCCTTGTCCTCCTCCCCCTCCTCCTCCTTCTCCACGTCATCCTTCTCCACCTCCTCATCTTCCTCCTCCTCCTCCTCTTCCTCCTCCTCATCATCCTCCTTCGCCTCCTCTTCCCCTCCCCTGTCCCCTGTCCCCCGTCCTCCTCATCCGCCTCCTCCTCCTCCTCCTCCTGCACCTCCTGCTCCGCATGTTCCTCATCATCCTCCTCCTCATCATCATCAGCAGCAGCAACAGCATCATCATCATCATCCTCCTCCTCCTCATCATCATCATCATCATCCACCCTTCATCATCATCATCATCAACATCATCACCATCGTCATCATCATCACCATCACCATCATCATCACCATCACCATCATCAGCATCAGCATCAGCATCATCCTCAACATCATCATCAGCATCAGCATCAGCATCCGCATCAGCAACAGCATGATCCTCGTCATCGTCATCATAATCACCATCATCATCAGCAGCATCATCATCACCACCATCATCATCACCATCGTCATCATCACCATCAGCATCCACATCCTAGTCCTCGTCCTCATCCTCATCCTCATCCTTATCATTTCGGCGCGTCCTCCACCTTATCTTTGTCTCCTTCCCCATCCTCCCCCTCCCCCCTCCCCCTCCTCATCCCCGACCCTCCTCCTCCTCCTCATCCTCCTCAGATTCCATATCCCCATCATCCTCGTCCTCCTCCCCCACATCATTATTCTCCTCCTCCTCCTCCTCCGCATGTTCCTCCTCCTCTTCCTCCTCCTCCCCCTCCTCCCCCTCCTCTTCCTCCTTCTCCTCCTCCTCATCCTCCTCCTTTTCCTCCTGTTCCTCCTGCTCCTCCTCCTCCCCCTCCTCATCCTCATCCTCGTCCTCCTCATTCTCCCCCTCCTCATCCTCCTCCTCCACCTTCTCCTCCTCCTGCTCATCCTCCTCCTCCTCTTCTTCCTCCTCCTCTTCTTCTTATCAGTCGGATAATTAATATTTCGACTAGTATTGTATTACTTGTTTTTAGTATTACTGCTACGAGTATAAATAGAATGGTTAGCATTGTTATTATTTTTATTATTAGTATTATTCGTAGTAGTAGTAGTAGTAGCAGTAGTAGTAGTAGTAGTAGTAGTGTTAATAATACTATTGTTATTAGTAGTATTATTATTATGATTACTATTAGTATTATTATTAGTATTAGTATTACTACTATTATTATTAGTAGTAGTATTGTTGTTATTATTAATAGTAGTAGTAGTAGTAGTAGTAGTAGCATCATGATTGGTATTCTTACTAGTCTTAGTATTAGTAGTAGTAGTAGTAGTAGTATGATGATGATTATGCTTATTAGTTGTCCTCATCGTATTATTAGCATTCGCATTCGTAGTCTTAGTATTCGTCGCCTTCTTCTTCTTACTAGTATTAGTATTAGTACGATGATTCCTAGTATTATTAATACTATTATTAATACTATTATTAATATTATTAGTATTATTGTTATTATTAGTGTTAGTCCTAGTCTTCTTATTAGTATGCGTATTCGTCGTCTTTTTGTTATTAGTGCTTAGTGGTCGTCATGCTCTTCTTCGTCTTCTGATTCAAATTATTACTAGTATTATTATTATTACTATCATTATTATTTTTCGTAGTAGTATTATTCGTCTTATTATTATTATTAGTGTTCCTCCTCCTCTTCCTCCTCCTCCTCCTCCTCTTCCTCCTCCTCCTCCTTCTCCTCCCCCCTCTTCCTCCTTCCCACCCCAATGCCAAGCTGACCACGCGCTTCGCGCGGCGCGTGCGCGGGCCAGAGCCTCCAGAACACGATTCCCTGCGGGGCCTGGTGCACGCCCAGCTTCTCCTGCGCAAGCGCGCTCGCACGCTCGCGCGCACGCACGCACGCACGCACGCACGCACGCACACACACACACACACACACACACACACACACACACACAGCACACACAGCACACACACACACACACACACTTGTTTTCGTCGGCGGCTGGGCAGAGGGACTACTCTGGCGATGTGACACACACGCGAAACACACACACACACAAAAAACAAAAAAAAAAAAAAAAACGGTTTGCCTGGTACACGCCCAAGTGTTTCGTGCGCAGGCTGTGTAAAAATCCATACCCAACACACACACACACACACACACACACACGCACAACACACATATCTATATATGTATACACATACATACATACATACATACGACTGGTATTATACATATCATCTTCATCCGTATTAATCTCCATTCCCCCCTCACTCAAGTTCTCCTTTCCCCCACCTGCATCTCAAAACACAACACGTCATTTATATGTTCCTTTCCCCCTCCTGCTCCTACAAGCACCACTCGTCCCTTGAGATTCTCAACTCCCAAAGACTATTCCTCTTTTCCCCCTTTCCCCTTCCTCCTCCTCCTCCTCCTCCTCCTCCTCCTCCTCCTCCTCCTCCTCCTCCTCCTCCTCCTCCCTCCTCCTCCTCCTCCTCTCTCCTCCTCCTCCTCCTCCTCCTCCTCCTCCTCCTCCTCCTCCTCCTCCTCCTTTCCCCCCCCCATCCCTGTTGCAAAACCCAAACAAAAAGAATACACAGTGTTCGGCGCCCTCGGCGCCAAGAAACGCTGTGCGATTTTAGTTATGTTGGGCATGTTTGGCCTGGGACGCAACGCAAAACTGCAAGGGTGCGCCGCTGGATCTCCCCAAGGGGGGGGGGGTAGGGGGGGGGGTTAGGACCCCCCCCCCCCTCCCTTCCCCGATCCGTCGTCGGGGAACCCCCCCCTCTCCCCCCCCTCCCCGATCCGTCGTCGGGAACCCCCCCCCCCCCTTTCCCGACCCGTCGTCGGGGACCCCCCCCTTTCATAAGAGAGGTCCCCCCCTTTCGCCACGCCGCCCCCTGACGCCGGAACCCGACCCCCGCCACCCCTACCCCTAGTCCTCACCCTAACCCAAACCCCTAATCCGAGCTCCAACCACTAACCCCAGCCCCAAACAGTACTCACTACTCATTACTCACTACCCTCTACTGGCTACTCGCTATTCGCTACTCACTTCTCACTACCCCCTACTCACTACTCACGACTAACTACTCACTATCCACTACTTACTACCCACCACCCACTACTCGCTACTCACTACTCCCTACTCACTACTCCCTCCTCCCTACTCACTACTCACTCCTCACTACCCACTACTCAATACTCACTACTCATTAAGCACTACTCACTACTCCCTATTCACTACTCACTAATCACTACTCTTTACCCACTACCCACTATCCACTACTCATTACTCACTAGTAACTACTCATTGCCCACAAATCACTACACACTACCCACTAATCGCTACTAGCTACTCCGTACCCCCTACACAATATTGGCTACACAATGCTCAGTACTCGCCACTCGCTACTCCCATACTCGCTACTCAATATTCACTACTCACTCCCCGCTACTCACTATTCACTACTCACTACTTACTACTCCCTACTCACGAGTCACTACATAGTCTCTAGTCGCTAGTCACAATTCACTAGCCACTTGTCACTAGTCACTACTCACTACCCACAACACACCAATCGCTACTCACTACCCACTATTCGCTACCCACTTCTTACTACTCACTGCTCACTACTCCCTACTCCCTACCCCCTAAAGCCTAGAGCGCTCATCTTGGGGTCGCGCCCTCAGACCCTAAATGGTCGCGAATCAATCAGTGCGGGGTCCAAACACGGCGTTTCGTTGGTCCGAGGGCGCGCCCTCCGCGCCCTCAGACCCTAAATGATCGCGAATCAATCAGTGCGGGGTCCAAGCACGGCGTTTTGTTGGTCTGAGGGCGCGCCCCCGCGCCCTCAGACCCTAAATGACCCCGAATCAATCAGTGCGGGGTCCAAACACGGCGTTTTGCTTATCTGAGGGCGCGCCCCCGCGCCCTCAGACCCTAAATGATCGCGAATCAATCAGTGCGGGGTCCAAGCACGGCGTTTTGTTGGTCTGAGGGCGCGCTCTCCGCGCCCTCAGACCCTAAATGGTCGCGAATCAATCAGTGCGGGGTCCAAACACGGCGTTTCGCTTATCTGAGGGCGCGGAGGGCGCGCCCTCAGACCAACCTAACGCCGTGTTTGGACCCCGCACTGATTGATTCGCGACCATTTAGGGTCTGAGGGCGCGACCACAGATGAGCGCTGTAGGGCCTACTCACTACTCAGTGCTCACTACTCACTACTCGCTACTCCCTACTCGTTACTCACTAATCACTACCCACTACTCAGTACTGACTACTCTCTACTCACTACTCACTACTCGCTACGCCCTACTCGCTCCTCACTCCTCACTACTCGCTACTCCCTCCTCGCTACTCACTACTCACTACCCACTGCCACGACCCACTACTTCTATTCATCACTACTCACCACTCACTACTCACTACGCACTACGTACTACTCGGTACTCACTAATCACTACTCACGACTCACGACTCACTACTCATTACTCGCTATACACTACTCACTACTCACTACTCACTACTCACTACGCACTACGCACCACCCACTACTCACTACTCACTAATCACTACTCGCCACCCACTATTCACTACCCACTACTCACTACCCACTACTCATTACTCCCTACTCCCTACTCAGTACCCACTACTCGCTACTCGCTGCTCACTACTCACTACTCACTACTCGCCACTCACTACTCACTTATCAGTTCACACTACTCACTATTCACTACTCACTACTCCCCACTCCCTACTCCCCACTCCCTACTCGCCACCCACTACCCACTACTCACTACCCAATACTCACTACTCACTGCTACTCACTACCGAATATTCACTACTCACTACGCACTAACTCACCACTCACTACTCACCAGTCCCTACTCCCAACTCCGTACTCCCTACACGAAGGGGGGGGTCCGAACCCCCCCCCCCCGCCTTCCAGCGCCAAGGGGGGGAGGGGAGGGGGAGGGGTCTGGACCCCCCCCCCCCTTCAAAGGAGGGGGGGGGGTTCTGGCCCCCCCCCCCCCCCTTTAGTGTACTCAGGGAGATCCACTGGCGCACTTTCCAAAACTGCGCATGTTTGCTCGAGCGTTCCCCTCGGCCTCCCCGCCAGCACCTCCCCCTTCAACCCCTGCCCCGTTCCCCCCTCCATATCCTCTCCTTCCCTCCACCTCGTTGCATATCAAGAACACCCTGAATACCTGTACGACCACCCTTCGGGTGATAAGGAGGTTCGGGGGGGGAGGAACCAACGTCTCACTCGATCGGTCTCACTATCGATCTCACCATCGATCTCAGTATCGGTCTCGCTCGATTGATCTCCTTCGATCGATATCACAATCGATCTCACTCGATCTATCTCACAATTGATCTGACTATCGATCTCACAATCGATCTCGCAATCGATATCACATTCGGTCTCACTATCGATCTCACTATCGATATCACAACCGCTATCACAATCAACGTCATCATCATCATCATCAACAACATCAACATCAACATCATCATCACCAAAATCATCATAATCGGGACACCGTCCTCATCATCAACACCAACATCATCATCATCATCATCATCATCATCATCATCACGGTCATCACCATCATCGGGACACCACCATCATCATCATCATCATCATCATCATCATCATCATCACCATCATCATCACAATCATCATCATCAACATCATCATCATCATCAGCAGCATCGGGACACAGTCATCGTCATCATCATCAGCAGCAGTATCATCATCGGGGCACCATCATGATCACCATCGTTATCATCATCATCATCATCATCATCATCATCATCATCATCATCATCATCATCATCATCATCATCGGGACACCATCATCATCATCTCATCCTCATCATCGACATCATCATCAGCATAATCAACATCACCATCAGCATCATCATCGTCATCATCGGGGCACCATCATCATCATTACCAACATCAGCATCCACATCATCATCATCATCATCACCATCGGGACGCCATCATCATCAACATCAACACCATCACCATCAGAAAAATCATCATCATCGGGACGCCATAATCATCATCAACCTCATCATCATCAACATCATCATCATCGGGACACAATCAGAATCATCATCATCAACATCAACATCATCAGACTCATCATCATCGGGACACCATCATCGTCATCATCATGATCATCAACATGATCATCATGATCATCATCATCCTCATCATCGGGACACCATCAGCATCATCATCATCATCATCATCATCATCGTCATCATCATATCATCATCATCATCGACATCATCATCATCATCATCATCATCATCATCATCGGGACACCATCATCATCATCATCGACATCATCATCATCATCATCATCATCATCATTATCATCATCATCATCATCATCATCATCATCATCATCATCATCATAATCATGATAATCGTCCTCATCATCATCATCATCCCCATCAGCATCACCATCATCATCATCGTCATCATCATCAGCAGCATCATCATCAGCATCACCATCATCATCATCATCATCATCATCATCATCATCATCATCATCATCATCATCATCATCATCGCGGGACACCGCGGGACACCGGCGGGACACCGCGGGGCACCGCGGGACACCGCGGGACACTGCGGGACACCGGCGGGACACCGGCGGGACACCGCGGGCCACCGGCCGCCCGGAAGGGAGACATTTGGTCCGGCCGCGCCTCAGCCACACGGGACACCAGCGGGACACCGGCGGGACACCGCGGGCCACCGGCCGCCCAGAACGGAGTCATTTGGTCCGGCCGCGCCTCAGCCACAGGAGACTTTCTCTCGCCCGCCCACGCA